GACCTATCCATAATTTCTCTAATAATAAATTCTTATGATGGCTAATGGTTGTAGAGATGAAAATAAACGCTAAAACTCAGACGTGTTTCGACCATTGTAACGAGATGAAGAATGGTACCAGGGTAAGCACATGGTACAAGAGTATAGAATGCAACGAACGGTGTTTTGATATGGCTTTCACGGATGGTGGTTGGCTAGTTGCATTCAACAGCATGAACTTCTTCACAAATTTTTTATTGATCGTTTTTGTTGCTGTAAACATTATGTATAAAGATTGTTCTTTCAGTGGGATGATCATATAAATATAATAACAGAATCTTCTTCTAGTTGTTGTATGTTTTTTAGAAAAACTAGATGTGTATCTAGATCTGCCATATGCGCAAGATTCTTTTTCATCAGGTGGTTTTGGTGTACTTTTGTGCAAATTTTTTTTTTTCAGTATTTCTTTTTTTTGATAAATTTGAATATATTACCAAAAGGAAATAGAGTAGATTTACAAAGCTTTAAAACCAGAAGTTACAGAGGCAAAAAAAAAAAAAAAAGCCTTGTGGAACTAATAACGGGTTAAAATATAGTGCAGTACTACGAGTAAGTGAACCACTGCAACAGGAGACCATTGCAGCGCCTCCATGAGTATCGCGCTAGTAGTGAGTCCCGTGTAGTTCGGTCTATCCGTTTGAAGATTTCTGCAGCAGAGAGAGTCAAACCTGTGTGGACACGCGCGTTCCGCTCCATCCAAATAAGATAGATAGTGCATTGAGCCACTAATCGTTTCAAAATCCTAGAGATTGTCCTCGATGGAGTTCTCATCCATTGCAACAATTGAGACCAATTAACCAAACCCATAGCCGAACCACCATTTAACCTTGGCGTGACCATTCTCCAAACGTCAACTGCAAAAGTACACTGGAANAAGATGTGGTCACGAGTTTCCTCAAACNCATTGCACATCGAACAAGCCGGAGANATGGNTGCATTCCAATGATGAAGTCTCGACTTAGTTGGAAGTCTATCTAAAGTGGAGACCCAAAACTGAAATGCGTGTCTCGGAACCGCATGACTAAACCAAACCTCTTTGTACCANGGAGCCAANGGGNCAGAAGGGCGCAGAAGATTNCAAGTTACTTTAGTGGAGAAACAAGNTTTNCTCGAGCCTTCCTCACCCCATGTGTAAACATCCGGTCCTCTGATAGGAGCTGGTGGATTCAGATTGGTGATGGCGTTTCTATAGGCTTGAACTGCCGTGTCCCTAGAGCGAAGAGATGGAANAATCCATCCCGTANTTGAAGAGGCANCAGTCGAGANAGTTGACTTAATGGGGATACC